GGGGGGGGGGGGGGGGGGGGTCAGTTTAGTTACCTAGGAAAATTTTTATTGAAATTGTAGATATGGGGATCAATTATTAAGGGATATATCTGTCTCAGGACTGTGCATGGGCTGGTAGATACGATGAAACCATGATGTTTTTAGAGGATTTACTCGAGAAAGGATTTCCTCCAACTGGTTGCTTTTAATTCCATTCTTGCAGAATGCGGCAGTGCAAGCTTAGAAGAGAGAGCATTTTATGCCTACGGTACAGTGGCGAATTTGGTTTAACTCCTTCATCTTCCACGTGTAGTTCTTTGCTTATCAGCTTAGCTAGGAAGGGGAACCTTGATGAAGCTAGGATAATTTTGTACGACATGATAGAGAAAGGATTCCCTGTCAATAACCTGGCTTTTACAGCTCTTTTGAATGGGTGCTTCAGGGCAGGAGATGTCATTACGGCTGAAAGTTTGTGGAATGAGATGAAGGGTAGGGGGTGTTACCAGATGTAGTTGCATTTGCAGCTTTAATTTATGGGCTCTGTATGTCTGGTTTGATGAAGGATGCTTATGATGTTGTGAGATCCCACATTGGTTTGAGAGGGGTATGAAACATTCTTTATAAGAGTGTGGAAACCTCTTTCTAGTAGACACGTTTTAAAAACCTCGAGGGGAAGTCCAAAAAGGAAAGTCCAGAGTTGACAATATCTGCTAGCGGTGAGCTTGGGCTGTTATAAATGGTATCAGAACTAGACATCGGACGGTGTGTCAGTGAGGATGTTGGGGCCCGAAGGGTGGTGGATTGTGAGATCCCACATCGATTGGAAAGGGGAATGTAACATTCTTTATAAAGGTGTGGAAACCTCTTCCTAGTAGACGTGTTTTAAAACCTTGAGGGGAAGCCTGAAAGGGAAAGCCCAAAGAGAGCAATATCTACTAACGGTGGGCTTGGGTTGTTTATAGAAGTATTGTCTGACATCTTGAGAAAAAAAGTTTGTGCCTAATAATTTTGTGTTCAATTCCTAGATTGGTGGAATCTGAAAAGTGGGAAAACTAATATTTTTACGACAAACACGATAATTGGTGGGGAATGCAAACAAAGATAGACGAAGTTAGCCATTGGGACGTTCATGGACATGTATAAGATGAGTTTATCTCATGATATTGTCACTTACAGCACATTGATTAATGGTTACTGTAAAGTGACATGGGTAATGAAAATGTCAGATGGTAGGTGGGAACCTGATATAAGGACTTACAGTATACGAATTCATGGTTTCTGCACTGCCCGAAAAATCAAGTGGGCTGGGGCGATACTTGAGGAGCTTATTTCAGCAGGGGTTGTTCCTAATACTGTAACATGCAATACTATGATTAATGCTGTCTAGTGTCATCCTGGAACATGCTATGATGGATCATTAATTAGAGCATTCTTGTGCTCTATGAATCCTTATCCAAGATTTTTGTAATTTGATAATGGCACGTGAATTAAACTCTTGAAGTTGAATGGCTGTTCCAATAAATTAGACTTAATGGAGCATCAAGCCAGCGAGAAATCTCATACTCCAAGTACTTAGAGAAGCTGCACAACAATTGATCCAAGTTCCCGATACGTCGACAAATAGAAGAATGTTCTTGGAGGATTCATCCTTTGAGGTAATAATTCGTAAAACTTGTCTCTAGTAGGAAAACTCCAATTAATCTGCTGTTTTGCTTTCTAGATGGTTATGGAGGGAACCGTGATGTGTGAGTATTCTGATCTCTGTTTGGCTGATGTTTCGTAGGAATATATTATTTAGTAAATTGGTGCATAATTTAACCCTGTAACTTAACCCAGAACACCTTAGTTATATATATTTCTTACTCGGTTGACACATTCTATGGCAATGAAAGTTCATAGTTTGAATGTTCTTTTACTTGGTCTTAACACTCATTACTTGTTTGGCCCTTTGCTGTATTTGTTTTGTCTATTGATTTCAACTTAGGCTGCCCATGTGAAAGACTTTTTAGTCCCAAATCGCCATTGACCTATAAATTAGATATCATATAGGGTGAAAGCCAGTGATGAAACTGCAACTTGAATGTTGTTTTCATAGTAATTGAATTCAGATATATATATATATATATATGCTAGTGTTTGGGCCAGCATGTGCGCAACTTAATTATTTTCACGGGACAACTGCTTGACACATTTGTTTACCAAAGTAACTCATAAGATATTAAATCCTAGGTAGGTGGCTACTATGGCTAGAATCCATGAATGGAAAGTAGAGGTTAAATATTTATTTGTTTACTGTCCTTCCTTTCCTTTAATTGCGAAGGAATAAATAAATTGGCCTAATAGTCAAAATAATCAAATCCTAATCCTAAGCCTAAGCCTAAGCTTAGATGTTTTCTAAGTTCAAACTATAGTGGTCATCCTATTTAAGATAAGATTAAATATATGACCTTCTTGAACATGTTTTGTTTTCCAAGTTATAGCTTGTGTCCTTAAGTTCTAAGATATTAAATATCATTAAGAAAATATGTACGGGATCAAATTTTTTTATATGAAAAAAATTGTAGGATCCCTCTTGTTTTAAAAAAAAAAAAAAGGTTATAGGATGCCATATTTAATTTAGTCCACTTGCAATTAACTTTAGCCTCACATTTATTAAAGAAAAGGGCGTTTGGAGAGGGAAAAGTGGGTACATCTCTCACTATCATCTTGACTAAGTAGATACAATATTAATGTTCAGTGATTGTTAATGATTAAAATAATTTTGTTTAGAAATTGTGAGAATTTCTTGCAGGTAGCATCTGTGAGATCCCACTTCGGTTAGAAAAGGGAACGAAACATTTCTTAAAAAGGTGTGAAAACCTCTCTCCCAAACCATGAGGCTGATGGCGATACGTAGTGGACCAAAGCTTCGGCGTTCACAATACCTGAGTTTTTCAGGTGGATGAAGATCCCCACCATATCCTGTCAGTATCTATATCTATCTATATGATAATTTGTTTGTGTTCTGGGCCCCGTAGGGCAAAAACCGAAGGATTTCAGACAATAGAGTATCATAACTCAAATAGACTATTTACATTAGCTTCTGTTCATCTCCTGCAGTAGAATTTCTATTTGGTGTCCTATGTTTGCCTTTCATTTCTTGATTGATATTCTGTTCTGCTCATTTTCTTTGCTTTCAAAATTACAGCTTAGTCTATATGCCAAAATCTGATTGTGAAAGTGTGAAAACAGAGTTTTAAGGCACTTTTGCTCTTTGCATTATCATAAATCTTCTTCTACTTGCACCCTCCACATGCTCTCCCAGTTTCTGCAGGTGGCTCATCCGCCTTCTCCACGAGTCCATCACCTTCGTTTTCTCTGGTTCTCTTTCCATGTCGGGTTTGTTGTCGCTGTTATCAGGACTTTTCTCGTAAGGCTCATTGTCGTCCTTAGCTTTAATGATCTGCTTCAATCTGTTTACTACTTCAGCCATTGAGGGCCTATCCTTCGCATTTTTCTCCAAGCAAGTGTTTGCTAACTTTGCTACTTTTCTAGCTGTATTGATGGGGTACTCGTTTTCGAGCCGAGGATCTATTATCGAACTAAACTTTTCGCTGTCTGGATTGATATATTTAACCCATTCCACAAGATTCTGTTCTGGTCTTGGATGATGTCTCTCCAATGATCGTCTCCCAGTTAAAATCTCATAAAGCACAACACCATAGCTCCATACATCACTTTTCGCTGTCAGATGGCCTGTCTTGATGTAGTCCGGAGCTGCATATCCATTAGTCCCCATCACCTGAGTGTACATGATGTAGTTCACTGTGAGCATCTGTAAGTGATTAAAGGGAGAAGAACAAAAAAAACAAACAAACACTTACTGCTGTTGAAACATGAGTGCGCCCAAATTCTGGCCCTTCCCTGGCAAGCCCAAAATCTGAAAGTTTTGGATGAAAATTTTCATCCAGTAGCACATTTGAACTCTTGAAATCTCTGTATATTATCTGTGCCACATTATAGAAGAACATGAGGGTAAATCTAGTCACAGCAAAAAGTGGTATGTTTGTGTATAACTATCTTGTTTAAATGCACACGCCCTGAAATTGAATTCGATTTGAGAAGATATGATACCTGAACTTCTAATCCTTCATGCAGATAAGCCAACCCCTGAGCTGCTCCAAGTACTATCTGCAATCTTGTTTTCCAAGCGAGTGTCGGTAGCGCCTTGTTGAAGAGATGATCTTCCAAGCTTCTGTTCGTCATATACTCGTATACGAGCAGTCTTTGGATTCCTCTTGTTCCATCCACAGCACAGTATCCTACGAGTTGGACAAGATTTGGATGCTCCACTATACCAAGAAATTGAACTTCTGCCAGCCACTGCTTGTGGCCCTATTTGCAAAATAGAAATGGTACGTACAAAGAAAAATCACTTCCTCATGAAAACTTGCCTTATTTTCCATAGGATTAAAGCTTAACGAATAGTAGTAATGATTCTCTGTTCTTGATGCATATATATTATATGGAATGAATATAACCAGATCACCCAATCAGAATCTCCAACAATGAAGAAATTCGGCCAATAAATTCAAAGAAAAACATACCTGTAAGCCATCCTTACTCAGTTGCTTGATAGCAACAACAAGGGGATCTCCCTTCCCATCAATGGGCTTAATTGAGCCTTTAAAGACACTCCCAAATCCCCCTTGTCCAATCTTAAGAAGCCTGTTGAAGTCATGTGTTGCCTCTCTCATCTCTGCAAATGAGAAAACTCTCAAATTATGTGCTTTCTCTTCATACAATTCAGGTACACTCCGAGTCGATGTTAGAGAGCACGAAGAAGCAGCCGTCTGACTGCATCCCGAAAAGTTAGATTCTAGCTCCCCTTTCAATTCAGGTGCGGATCTTTGATGCCTCCTACTCCTGGACTTGTTTTTGAAGTAGAAAAAGCACTTCATTTTCTATTAGATCTGGAAATTTGGCAATTCCCACGTTGTTTTGAACCTCTGCAATTTATCCCCAGAAGAAATTTAATGCAAAAGCTTTCAGTTGTTTCTGGTCTCAAAAGAACAGCTGAAAACACATCTTATAGAGATTGATACAAAAGCAAAAACAGAGGAAAAACCACAAGAACTATGATAGGAACGTTCTCGATGCCAGATTGAAAAACTCCGAGTACAGAACAGAAAGAAACAACAGCTGCAGGAGAAGAAGAAGAAGGGAGAATGGGGGAAACAAGGAGACAAAAGAAGACAATGGTGGAGAAAAGACTTGTTTGGTAATACTTGTACACAAAAAACAGACAAAAAAGGCGGCTCTTAAGACTCTCCTTCGGTGAGATCTCACATCGGTTAGAGAGGGAACAAATCAACTTTTGTAAGATTGTAAAAACCTCTCCCTAGCAGACGCATTTTAGAAACCTTCTACCACTGTTACAAATGGCATCAGAGCCAGGTTTCGATCTTGGGACCTGCGCGTTACTCTTTCCTCGTTCCTTGAAACAGTCCAAACAAAGATTTGTTAAACAGAAGTTCGAAGCTGGAAAGAAATTTGAGGAGCATTCTTTTTCTGACTTGTGCTTCTTGTTTCTTCTTGTTCTGCAGGAGATCGATGAGACCCAGATGGGATCAAGGGAAAGGGCTAATTTGTTGAGTCTGGCTTGAAGTTTCAGAATCCATTTGAGCCTATGGGTACGTACAGTTGTTCTTGGTCGTTGCCTCTTTATGATCTCGTGATGTTTGGTGGGTGAACTGAATGAATGAATCAATGAATTTTACTGCTCTGTTTTGCTTTTTGGATGTCAAATAGTTGAAGATAGAAGCATGGTCAAAGGGGAACCCAAAGGATAGACAAAATTATTATTATTTTTTTTTTGTTAAATTTGCAAATTTAGCCCATATAGTTCGAGAAAGTTACAATTTAGTCCCTATAGTTTTTAAAGTTAGAATTTTGTCTTTATGGCTCGGAAATTCTAAATTTGGTTTAATTTTCACTTATTTTATAAAAATCATGTAAAAATCTTCATGAACTAATTAATTTCAATAATAAAAAAATGGCAATTTCACAAATTAATTACTAAATAAATTTAAAAAGCTTATTTAATGTTATTTTTCCTTAAAGTGGTATTTGTAAGCCTGTTTTATAATTTGGTAAAATCTAATTTTCTTGAAGAAATAAATATTTTGAAATTTATTGGATTTTTTTCTCTCAAAATAATAACAATAATAATAATTACAATAATTATTTATTTGTATACATCAAACATCATAGATAGACTTTTTCTTTTTATTTTTAAACAAAATTTATGACAAATGGTTCCATCAAAATTTGCTGCAAAGTCAAGAGATGAGAAGGTTAGTTATTTAAATATTAAATTAAAAAATTATTTTAAAATATTAATTTCAATAATCATATAAAAAAATATTAATTTCAAACTATACAAAGGGAAATTCCAATATTACCCTTCATAATATTTCCAATTTGCACCATAAAAAAATGTTAATTATGGTAACTTTTAGAAACTTGAGCTACATTTCAAAATCAACAGCTAAGATGCCAGGTTTTCTGACCGTGATATTTAAGAAAATAATAAAAGTTGACTTTGACTTTTTTTTGGTTGACTTCCTTTCCCTTTCTAGTAATTGTCGTAAAAAATTATAATATATGTTTTAACTCATTGAATTATACTCAAATTAATTTAAAAATGTTAATATAATATATTTTTTAATATTTATTATTGAGAATCTTATAAATATGAAGACTACCTTACATTTAAAATAGTTAATAATTATTTAAATAAATTCTTTAGACGAAATTTTAATTTTAATTTTCTCACTCATTTTTTCTACCATTTTTCAAAATTTTCGTAATTTCTTTACTAAATCCTTTCAAACTTCTCGAGTCAAGTCTTATTTAGTAGGCGAAATCATTTCTATAATGTTAAAATTTTCGATTTTTTCTCATAACACATGACTAATGTGGTTGACGTTAGACATCACGTCTAACAAAATGAAGCAAAACTAGGTTTTACATGAAACTCATGCAGTTTCGGTTCATTTGTGTATCCATCTTTTACCCGATTGTTGTAATAATACAGATATTGTTTTAAAACAACGAGCAAAATTTAAAGTTTTTTATTTTTTTATTTTTTATTATTATCTAATTTAACCTATGTATACTTATAATATATTAATTTCAAACTATGCGAGATGAAATCCCAATATTACCCTTTATAATTTAAATAATTTATTCAGAAATTTGAGGCAGATTTCAAAATCAATACCAAAGCTACGAATTTTTCTGACGCTGACGGTTGTGAGCGTAGCAAAGGACAAATAAAAACAAAAACAAAAACATTGAGTTGACTTTGACCAAGTCTTTGTTGACTTTCTTGCTTCAAAAATATGTTTTCAATTTAAAAATATAAAAAAAGGAAAATATTACAATAAATGTAATGTTTGGGTAATTATTTTTCATATTTTTTTCGAATAATTAATGTAAAAAGAATATAAATTTTTATGTAATATTTGATCAATTTTAAAAATAAAATCTAATTTTCTCACTAAAAAATTACAATTAAAATAGTTTTTGAACAAAAATGCTGCAATCCCCACATTTTAGGAAAATATTTTTTATAATTACTAAATTACAATTAAAATAATTTTATAATAACAATAATAATAATTAGTATATTTAAAAAATTAAAAATTAAAAAATAAAATTCTCTCTCAATTTTTTCTACCAAACTCTTCTAGATTTAAATCATTTCTCTACCAAATTTTTCTAAATTTGGGTTGAGTCAAAGTCTTACTTGGCAGGTGAAAGTGTAATATTTTTCAAAATTATCAAAATATTTTAAATTAAAATAGTACTGCTCTATGCTCGGGATTCAGTCCAGAATATGAAATCTGAATTGTAAGGTTTCAGAGAACTAAAAATTATACTGACAAACAAACACGGGCTTTTTTTAATATATTTTGTTCTCGCTCATATGCTTTATATAAAAATTTTAGAGAGCTCAGTTATCGTGAGATTGATTTAGATTAAGTATGCTTAATTTTTATATTACAATTACTCGTATATTAATATTGTTACAAATAAAGATCCCATGAGATGGGGATGGAGAAGGGGAACATTTCTCGTCTACGTCCCCACCTTCTATTTCAGTCCACATCTTTGCGAAATTGTCTATTTATTTTTGTCGGATTTAGGTCGAAATTCTCTGAAAAAAAAAATATAAATAAAAAGTGAGGTGAACAAAAATGAATAATATAATCTTCATCGCCAATCCCATTTAATTAACGGAGTTAAATGGACAGCTCTAATCATAAATCATAATTAATATATTTTATTGTGTACGGTTAAATTAGTAAAAATATTTATAAATTTTGTATTTTGTCTTAAAAAATACTCTTAAACTAAAGAAAATGTAAAAAAATTATATTTATAATTAACATTTAATATTTTTAAAAAATACCCTTAAAATTTACCATTTCCACTAATACCCTTTCAATTTAAAAAAAATATAAAAAATACTACTATATTTTAAAAAATATTATGAAATTTGAAAATAAAAAAAATTAAAAATTAATTTATTATTATTATTATTTTTTTTTATAAATGTTAATGTTAATTTTTTAATTTTTTTAAAAGGAGTTTAGTATATATTTTTTAAATTATTTGAAAATTGAAGAGTATTATTATAATTTAAAAAAATTTAAACTTATTTTTTTTATAAATGTTAATGTTAATTTTTTAATTTTTTTTTAAGGAGTTTAGTATATATTTTTTAAATTATTTGAAAATTGAAGAGTATTATTATAATTTAAAAAAATGTAAATTTATTTTTTTAAGATAAAATATAAAATTAAATGATATTTTTATTAATTTAATTCCAATATTGATTACTCAAAATATCTCTCATAAATTATTATTATTATTATTTTTAGTTTCCTCTATTTTATCGGAAATAATTTATTTCTTTTTTAGGAAATATGTGAGCTTATAAAATTTCAAGAAACCAAAAGTATTTTCCTCTTGTGACGACAACAGGTTCCTTTCTTCTCCTCCTTTGTTTTTTAATTTCATAATTAATTATTTACTCAATTCTTACCGTCAAAATTTTACCAGTCCCATTGAAAATCTACCAACGGGGTAAAACTTATAGATTTTTTTCTTTATACTAATATTTACCTTAACCATAAAAACTCCTCAGAATAATCTTTGTTTAAACTAAGAATTGAGAGACGGGAAAAGAGATTTTTTACGGTGAGATAAATTGAGCTAGAGACGAAAATTGTATTCTCGATCTAATTACTATTTTTTTTACATATAAATGTACATTATAAATTATAATAAAATCAGAATTTATATATTTTATTTGTATGAGGTGTCGTGACTTTTTACGAATGGACTATCATTTTATTTTAATCCATTATACTTTATTTTGGCTAATAAATAAGCCGGTAAAAATGGGGTTAAAACCATGAATTTTGGATTTCATGATAAATACGATGGTAATATTTACGTAGAAGACTATGATGTAATATTAAAATTTTAATTTTTTTTAGTTCGTTAACATAATCATATTAAATTTTTTTATATTGTAAAATAGAAACTATATCCTTGAAAATTTTCGAACCATTTTTAAAAAAATTAAAACATTTTTTTTGTTGGAAACCTGATCCCCATTCACGCCCTAATCCTTGTAAAAATAAATGTGGAATTTCACGGGGAATGAAAAAGGAGCGGGGATGGAGATGGGGAAGGTTTCCCGTCTCCGTCCCGCCACGTGGACATCTATATTTCACGAACTTCACATATTTTTTTATTATTTTTATGGTATTTTTATTATTTGTTTGCCTAGTTTTGATATGTAAGGACTTGATTGTAATTTCACTTTAAAATTATAACAATTTAATCCTAATAAAAATTTAACAATTTAGGTTATAAATATACTGTCTTAATTAATTTATAGATAAATTTGAAATTATATAGATTAAAATATCTTTAAAAAAAAGATAATTATTAGCTTAAATATTAATAATATATTATTTAATTGAAAATCCGCTTTGAATTACCTGGAAAAATCTGACCCTGTTTTGCCTTTAACGCCCCTTTTCCCTCCTTAATTTTGTAGCCGTCTTTCTCACTCTACCTGTCCTTCTCTCTCTAGAATCCTCCATTGTTGCCCAACAGACTGGCGCTTCTCTGTCACCTAAATTCTCTCGGAAAAATTCTCTGCTCTTCACATTCACTGTCACTTCGGATTCTGGAAGATTCTTCGCCGTCTCTTTTCCGTGCGTAAGTTCTTCGTTCGCGTTGTATGCATTTCTCATTCCTTGGTTGTTGCATTTTCTTTGATGCATGGCGGTTGTTTGGAACTTTGTATGAAGTTCCTGATGGTTTTGGTTGTGTGTGATTGATTGTAGGGGAAAGAAAAGCCGGAGGTGATTTCTGTAGAGAATTCTTGAAATTATATATATACATTGGGAAGTAAGGGATTGGTATAGATGTCTTTCAATCAATCAAGGCGTGATATGAATGAGGAGTCTCAATTTAAGAAATCTGTGCGATCATCGAGCTTGAATCAGCAGAGAAACTCTAGCGGACTTCATTCTAAGTCGGGTGATTCCGGCAAGTGTGCGCCGCCGATCGTCTCTAACCATAGGTAATTACGTTGCGATGTTGT